CGGTTGACGGTCGTCTTCTTTTCGCCACCTGCGGCAGCATCCCCTCCGCCGTCCTTTCCCACCTCATCCCCTACCGCATCATCGGCACCCAGTTCCTCTCTTTTCTCCATCGTCTCCAGCCTAGCTTTCTTCAACTCTTCCATTTGCTTCTGCCTGGCCTCTTCATCACCCGTTGCGAATTGGTAAAATCCTGCACCCCTCGCTCGATATTCTTTCGTCGCGTCGTAGTGTTGTAAAGGATCCTTGCGGGCTTCAGCGAATGCTGCTGCGATTGCTTCTTGTTTTTCTTGAGTGGGCTCGTAGGTTGGGAAGTGTCCGACTGGGTTATCTGTGGAGCAAAATGGGGTGAGGTAACAGCCACGGGTGGGGTTGGGAAGGGACTTACAAATGATGTATGGGCTGGTAAATAAAAAGAATATAGGGACATTCGTTGAGCAAGACAAACAGATCCGAGTAAGAGAAATGCACTCACTCGACCTCGGGCTCCTCATCCTCCTCTTGCAGAATGTCAACACCTCGGGGAGCCTCGCTTCGCCTCACTCTTCGCGTCCGACCAAACTCATCTTCATACTCGACCATGGGATCATTCTCATCGTCTGCCTCGTCCTTGAAAAGAGGACCCGCAGGTCAGTCCGTAGCCCCTTTTTTAAGAACGGGCCAAGCTGGCGACCCTCACCTGTGGTGGACGTGGAACGGCTAGGGACTCGTCCTCGTCGCTGGAATGGGCTTCAAACCCGTGCCCTTCCTCTGCTTTGCGATCAAACTATATTAGTGTTCGAGTTGGAGGTTAGCGTTGCTCTTATCCGAGTGGAGATGAGGAGCCGAGGTGGTCTTACATCAACCAACAACGAATCATACTGCTTGTCGTTTAACCCTCCCGTCATCCCCTTCTTCAGCTTTTCGTATATCTTGCTCTTCTTCTCCAACGCAGCTCTTGCAGATTCGACGGTCGACCTGCTAACTTCCTCCAACTCCACTTCCATGTCCCGTTTAGCTCGGTCGGCGACGCCTTTGTTCTTTTGAGCCCATACAGATGGTTTCTGTAAAAGGATAAGCACATTGTAGGTCCGCTAAGTCAATAGTCAAAGGATGAAGGTGTGTGGACCAATTTACCTTTCCCTCGCGTTTAACACCACCGACGATCGGCTCGGCCTTCCCCCCGCTCCCACTCGCCTTGGACTTTTTGAATTCGTCCTCGGCTTTCGAGAGCTCGGCCTTCAAGTCGAGGAATGAAGATGCAGAGACCCCTGCTGAGCGGGCTTTACCCATTGCGTGTCGGGAGGTGGTGGATGTTGTTGTTTGAACGTGATGATTGGTGCATGTTTTGGTGGCGGCGATCCCACGTTCGAGAGTGCTGGATCAACCGAATTGCCACTCGCGTGGATCAAGGATGAGCAGAAAGGAAATGATAATATCTTCTCTGAAATAGGTAGGGGATTAGGGTGCCAAATGGTTGTTTCTTGGCTTTGGGGAATGGGTTGGGAGGGTGATTCGCTCGTCTGACCCAAGGACATAATGCTCCATTATGACTCTCATCCCGTAATCCCTTATAGCTCAGTGGTAGAGCGCGTCACTAGTACAACTTCTTCGGAAAGTTGGAAATGACGAGGTCCATAGTTCAAGTCTGTGTGAGGGAAAAATCTTTTGACACCTTGGGCCACCTTGGTTTTTTTTTTTCCCTCCCCATGTTCTTGTGCTGACTTCCACAAGGCAAGATCTCCATCTTCATATCTGAATTAGGAAACTCTACAAGGTTTAATGCTGGTCAAAGACCCTGGCCGAAAAGTTGTCGCTGTTCCGGGTCATCTTCGGTTTGGGCCATTTCCCGCAGACACCCTCTCTCGAGGAACCCTTCCCAGAAATATGTCGTCGTGCGAACGCAGGCGATGTGACCATCGAGTTCTCTTCCCCAACCATGCGACTATCCTCACGGCCAGGAGCATTCTAATAAAGCGGAAGCCTTCGTTGAGGAAGCATTGCCTTCCTCAACC